TTTTTGTAATTACCATCTGCAAATTTTGACTAAAGCTTTCAATAAGAATCACCTTTTTTTTTCAAGAGGCTTTTCTTTGCCCAGGTCGCCATTGTAAATAAGAATGTGCTTATAATTACTTGCCTGGTGGTTAAGTTAAGGTGACACTGACTTGCTGCGCCACCTTGTGGTACAAATTGGTATTGCAAGGAAGTACGGCACGGTCCTAGTTGAACTTCATTTGTTATCTCTTTAACACATTGCATAGATGTTTTCATGGCAGCTGTTTCTTCACATCGTGTTGAAAGCTTTAGTTCATTTTTGAAGGTTTATAGTGTTTTTGAAAATGGGTATTTACAAAAAGTACCTTCCCCCCCAAGCCACATCAGAGTAATGCTTTGCAGATTGGGGTGTCTGTCCATTTTTGACATTCTATCTGTATTACGTGAGTGCGTGTGAGCGTGAGTTTGAAATATACATATGGCCTAAATGGTATTGTCTTTTCATAGTGTTTATAGATAAAGCAGCAATAGGTCGGCGAAAAAGCGAAAATCCGAAAAAGTAAAAATTTATTTAGCTGCTTTTAGCAAACTTGTCCAAATTTCACTGTACAAATGACTGTTAAATGAGAAGAAGTCATGTATATTTATTTTATATCCTCTATTATAATAAAAGCCTCTTTTGTCTGAATCTGTTTCATTGTGCAGTTGTTGGGAGAGTTGCTGCTTGACAGGGCAGCAACGTTGCAGCTGTTAGTATTCACCACTTGGCGGCACCCGAGGGTGTCTGTTTAATGTGCTGCTGAATCATTTTCAGACTATTCCTAATGTCAGTACTCAATATTCATAAACCTAAGTGACTTAGTCATTACAAGACCCAGTTCACAAAGTTGTGCATCCATCAAGGATTTGATTATTTAATGATTTTTTTTATTCCAACATCCCATATATTGAATAACAGCATGAGTCAATGGTTTGGACGTTGTTCTCATTAAAGGGAAATGATAAGAGATAGGACCATAACGGTCTTATTTTATGCTATAATCTGCTTAGGATGTTGATGCTTTGAATGTGTGCCTGTCCCAGCTGACCTTCAGCACGCTACAACTGGCAAGGTCCATCACATGGACTACCATACCTGTCTGTGGACTGTGGGAGGAAAGTGCAGTACACACATTCACTGAAAAAATGTTCAACGGGGGGGTTCAAGCCAGGAATTAAAAACCACTGCACCACAGGTAGGAAACTATCACAGGAAATAATGTGGAAAATTAAATACAGCTGAGATAACAACAGTCCATCATCACTTCAGGACACAAATAGGCATGGTTATTTCAAACTCCCTTTTTTGGTTCTTGGACTCTACTAGACTCGCTTTGCATCATTCAAAGTTCATAATAATCCACCTCTGTCTGGTTGGTCTTGGTTTGTGAAGCAACAGGTGGATCTGTGAAACCACGTGCCTGTTGGCTTGTAATTGACATGTTGTGAGCCAGGGAGTGTATAAAGAATGATCCTCATTCTTGAGTTGTAGAATAACCAAAACTGACAAAAGACTACAGTGGTGTGAAAAGCTTTTGCCCTCTTCCTAATTTCTCTTTTTTCATATTTGTTGCACATTTCAGATGATCAAATAAATTATAATATTATGTAAAGATAACTCAAGTAAAGACAAAATGCTGTTTTAATGATGATTATTGATTTACTACCTGGCTGGGTGTGAAAAAGTAATTAATTACTCCCTAAACCTAAACTCTGGTTGCGCCAGCTTTGGCAGCAAAAACTGCTATCGAGTGTTTGTGATAACTGGCAATGAGTCTTTTGCATCACTGTGGAGGAATTATGGCCCACTCTTCTTTGCAGAACTGCTCGAGAGCTATTGAGCATGAGTGGCTTGTTTAAAGTCATGCTAAAGCATCTCAGTCAGATTTAAATCTGGACTTTGACTAGGCCACTCCAACACCTTTCTTTCAGGATTTTCTGGTAGAGAGCAGGAAATCCTGGGATGAATCAGTGTTGTACCTACACTTAACAGACAACTGAGCAAAGATTTTAAATCTCAGCCTGCCACAAAAACACATAAGCTTGTTCCTATTTCTTCAGTTGAAACTATAAAACTGCCAACGATAACAAGTATAAAACTGTATTTTTCCACCAACAAGGTGATTCCCAGAGATATTAGCGTTAAACTTGGCATATCTTGGTATTGATCCTAAACTTACTGCCAATGCAGTGAAAGCATACCTGGATAGAAAAACACATACAACAGCCCTTTGTCAGTCCTGGGTTGGGTTCCCCAAAATCTGGGCCTCAACAACATTGAAGCAGTGGGTTGACTGTGGATCAGGAGGCAGGGCAGGTCATCTACTAACTTGAAGGTTGGTGCAGTTGGTGGTTGATTTCATCCCTGGCTTTTCCAGTCTGCTGAACCCTAAGTTGCTCCTATATAAGGACCTTACATTTACCAGTGTGGTAAATGGAAATTAAAGAATAGTCTGCCTAAGAGTTGGAGCTGTGTTGAAGAATAAAGATGGTTGCATCGAATATTGACTTCTATGCGTATTAGAACTGTACAAACTCTGTTTTTGGCTTCTGTATTTCCATGTATGT